ATTTTTCATTGTAAACTATCATAAAGAAGCCAAGAAAGAAAAAGAGAAAGAGCATTAGATCACAAAGCAAAAGAGAGTGAACATCTTTTCTATGCAATGCACTACACAGCCTGGAAAACCCTCAAATTCATCTTCCTTTATCTTTCCTCATTCTTTAGATTTTGTTTTTATGATTAAAATTTTACATATTTAAACCAACAAAACCTTTTCTTTTAGGTTATGGAGCTAAGAGAGAAGCTTTCAGTTGCTGAGAATGAAATCGTGCGGCTCACAGAGGGCTCAAATGTGACATCAAAGGCTGAGAAGAGCAGCAGCCCATCCTCTTCTTTAATGGGGGACTTTGAGCCAGAGCAGCCTAATAACTTTATGATAATGCCAGACAATATCAGTATTAATACTTTGGAATGGTTTAATTACTATGCTAACCTCTTCTAATGTGCATAATATGTGTAGACTAATCCATGTAAATGATTACCATTTTAACCATAATTAATATCATGTGTAGCTTGTTTGGACAAATTCAATGTGGAAATGCTTTTGTCAACCTTCATATTTAAAGGTGAGTAGAGTCAAAGAGAAAAGGCAATTGGAATTGAACACATGATAATTATGTGTAAAAGAGTGACTCAATGGAATAACAAGGGGGTGAGATAGAGAGGAGGATATTTTTTTCTCATTAGAAAGAGAGAGAAAGATAGTCCTAAAATGTCAAAGATAAAATGAATATTTTTTCCCATATATTAAAGTATACAATAAAAGCATTTTGACTTCCGATACAACATGATCACAACCTACTAATATTGTTAGATGTGAAATTAGGCGTCTACAAGCATGTTTATTGCCTCAAAGAAAACTTTACACACCTTGTGACATATAGTTCACATTTGACGGTTAATAATGATTCTAACTCCTTTAGCTAAAATATACATATTCAAACCTCTTTATACTAATGGTAAATCGTTATCCATTATATAAATACTAAATATAGGGAAAATTTTATATAGAGCCTCCCACAAATCTTTCACTAGTAGAGGTTGTTTTGATGCTCAAATATCATCAATCTAATCATCTAGACATCAAGATGCGTAGACATGAGAAAAAAATGGATTTCAAGTTTTAAAAATAATGTATTTTGTAATCCATTTTTGGATCGTCAATTTTCAAGATTTTCAAATTTTCATATATCAGTGGATTTACACTATTTTTTGAGCTTTAAACTTTATAAATAAAAATGTAAATATATTTTACGGTTATCACAAAGATTTCAAATGAACATTATTTGAAAGTAGGCTCTAATTTGATTGTTTGGAGCCTAGGCTCTATGCAAACCTCACACTTATATAAATCCTTTTTCTTATATATTATTGAAAAACCTAGTCCAAAACATCCATCTTAATCGTCAATTATTGACATGAGAGTTAAGATGACATGTAGCTTATTCCCTCTGAACAAGCATCTACAATCCTGATTTTCAAATTCTCCAAAGTCAAAAAAACAAAATAATAAAAAAGTGAACCACCCTATGGCAGGTAGTTGGCACATATGAAAACAACTGATTATATACTACCCAAACTTTTTATTTTTATTTTTTATGGTTATTATTGAAAATCTTCCACAGCATTGAATTTAGTTACTGCATTATAGTCAGGGTTAGAACGTCATAGCATGACATGGATTAGGACACTTGCGGACTATTGTGCCTCCTTTGAGTGGAGTTGGGTCCTTTCACAATGCAAACTCTCTCTCTCTCCTC